TACTTGAGCAGAGATTCCTGAGCCGAGGCCAAGGGAGAGCAGGGGGTCACGTGGCGCTGGCACCACGCCTGCTTCCAGCTGCTGGGGTTCATTAGGAGACAGCCAAAACACATTAATTAGTCTTCTAACATAACTGTCCTGTGCAGGCAGTGCTGTGGCTTCCACAGGGGCAGAGGAGATGGTCTGTGCGTTGTGAGAGTGGTGGAACCTCCGTGTCAACCCCTGCCTGAGGCTTCCAGCAGACCCCTGGGTGGTGGGATCATGCTGGGGAGACCAGGGCGGAGGAGGCAGCCTGCTTTAGGTTTGGGCTGTCCCAAAGTTCAGTGTGCCTTCAGAGCCAGGTTCTGTGCAGGAGGTTTCAGCCAGGTGGGGATTGGTGTCCTCTCCCGAGAACAGGTGACAGGACAGAAAGAAATGGCCTCAAGTTGCAGCAGGGGAGGTTTGGGTTGGACATTGGGGGAAATTTCTTCCCTGAAAGAAGAGTGGAGTCCCCATCCCCAGAGGGATTTAACAGCCGTGTGCATGTGGCACTTGGGGACATGGGTTAGAGGTGGCATTGGCAGTGCTGGGGAACACTCGGACTCGATGACCTTAGAGGGCTTTTCCAACCTGAAGAATTCTGTGATTTCTTCCATGATTTTATTTCCATATGAAGCCTCCTCTGACAGATGTCCCCAGGAGTGATTTCAGACAAGCACCCTGAAATGGCTACATTGGTGCTCCTCTTGCAGGGCAGTCAGAAGAGACACCCACAAACGTACCCAGGTAATTCCTGCTCCTGTTGCAAAACCACATGTAAAAATTCTGCAGAAATCCAAGGAAAAAGTCGTGCTCAGTCTAATCATGAGTTTACCTTTCCTCCAGAAGCTTTCTGAGCTTTCAGGCTCTTAATGGAAAGACCAGTGCTCACACTTGGAGGGCAGGCTGGAAAGTTTGCGTGGGCCTGTGTGTGTGCCAGGGAGTCAATTTTTGTCCGTCAGAATCCTCTTTCCATTATGCTTTTGTCAGACTTTGCCTCTGTAAAGGGAAATTTGGACTTTCCATGTCAAAGCCCTCTGCAAATGTTACCCAAGACCTCTCATCAGCGCTGTAGTTTGTACAGGAGCACATCCCAGTGCTTGCCCAGGAGTGGGGAAGGCAGTTCTAACACGCCTGCCCTTTGAGGGAAATGTCTGTTATTTGGGATTTTTCATTCTTTCCTCCCTCAGCGTTCAGCATTTCGGATGCAGGCTCATGCTCCTGCTCTCTTTAACAGTCTGTTTTTCCTCTAACCACTTCCAGCTCCAAAACCTCTCCACATCTTCTCAATGTAAATACACTTCACTTGCCCAGCGCAGGCTGGGGAGACAGTGGTGACCTTCAGCTGGGAGCAAAGCATTTCAGTTTGACCTACTTTGCTGCAGAGTGGGTTTGGCCGTGGCAGGGCAGCTCTCTGCTCCCTGCCCTCCTCTTGGGGAAGGTCCTTGGGGACATGTCCTGTGTGAGTGGGACAGCAGGGCTTAAGGAGATGGAAGCTTCAGGCCCTGAGCTGAGGGGATGTTTGGGTTGCTGGGTTTCTCCCTAGAGCCAGCTTTTATATTTGCAGCTTCAGATGTTTGATTGTGCCTTTGAAACATCTGCCACAGGTCAGTAACACAAAATGCCCATCACAAAATACTTGTTTTTCATTCACTGCCCCTTTTTTTTTCTCTTTGCTTGCTTTCCTCACGGCTGGTTGTGTGAAGGGAGAAGCTGCAGGAGGAGCCAGGCTGCTGTGCCTCTTCCCAAGGCTCCTTGGCTGCACCAAGAAAAGCCATGGTTGCTTTGTCAGGTCTCCCTTGTGCTCTGTAAGAATTTCTGGGCAATGCCAGTGCAGCTGTGGCTTTGCCTGGGTGGCACAGGTTGCCCAGAGAAGCTGTGGCTGCCCCATCCCTGGAGTAACCTGGGCTAGTGGAAGGTGTCCTGCTCACTAGGATTACTCAGCTCTTTAGAGTTTGCCATTTTCTGCAGTACTGGTTTCTCAGGATGACTGTGGGGTGGCCCCTCTGGAAGGACAATTGTCTTTTGTTAGGGGACATGTGTCTTTAAAACCAAGTTCTCTCCTTATCTCAAGCTTAAAGTGCAAAATTCCCAGGTTGGAAGCAAGTTAAAATTTCCTGTTCCAGCTGCATCTGCATTCAGTCTTGGAAGCAGATACTTGGCTGCAATTCTAAAAAAAAAAAAAAAAAAAAGAATATGAATTGATATTGCAGGTAAGAAGGAGCAACTGAGGAAAATATCCTTTCAGAAGCACTTCAAGCAGTTTTCAGGATAATTTTCACTTATTTCCGAATAATTCCTACCACTGCTCACCCAATAAAAATAACAAACCCAAACTCAACCCCACGTCCCTGCTGATAAACACCATGGACTTGCTCGTAGCTTATCTAATGCCTGAACATCTGTTTCTCCCTAGCTGAGAGGTTCCCTTGGATGAGTTAATGCAATTCCCTATGCAAAGGTTAAACAAAGTTGAGAGGCTCCAAGCAGTGGCTTTGTGCCACGGGGCCTGTGCTGCACAAACAGCTCCGCTGTGAAATGTCCCATCCTGGCTCAGGAAGAAGCTCAGGAGGGGAAAAGAGCGACCCAGCCTCAGCCTGGGCTGCAGCAGGGCTGGACTCCATGGTCTGAGAGGGCTTTTCCAGCCTCAGTGAGCCTGGCATTCTGAGTTTCTAGATGTGGAAAGGGTGCTTGGAGTGTGCACTCTCCCTGGGTGTGAAGAGCTGCTGCTGGGCACTCTCCCTGGGTGTGAAGAGCTGCTGCTGGGGCTGAGCTCTGCACCTGCTTCCCCCTGCCTGGGCTGTGCCCTCAGCTCCCCATGGGATGGGCTTGGGAGATGAAGGCCTGCTCTTAGTGGTTGGTGTGCACAGGATTATTTAAATTTTTGATCATTTAATAGGATTATTCACATTTTGGATTATTTAATACTGTTTTGTCCTGGACAGCAGGACCTTTTATGTCTGGACAGCTGGAGGTGGGGAGGGCTGCAGGGTGATGGCAGCACCGACTCCTGGAGCTGCTGGGCTGGGCTGAGCCCTGGGGGTTGAGTGCCAGAGCTGCTCCAAGTGACACGGACACAGCTCTTCATCCATCCATCCATCCATCTATCCATCCATCCATCCATCTATCCATCCATCCATCCATCTATCCATCCATCCATCCATCTATCCATCCATCCATCCATCTATCCATCCATCCATCCATCTATCCATCCATCCATCCATCTATCCATCCATCCATCCATCTATCCATCCATCCATCCATCTATCCATCCATCCATCCATCTATCCATCCATCCATCCATCTATCCATCCATCCATCCATCTATCCATCCATCCATCCATCTATCCATCCATCCATCCATCTATCCATCCATCCATCCATCTATCCATCCATCCATCCATCTATCCATCCATCCATCCATCTATCCATCCATCCATCCATCTATCCATCCATCCATCCATCTATCCATCCATCCATCCATCTATCCATCCATCCATCCATCTATCCATCCATCCATCCATCTATCCATCCATCCATCCATCTATCCATCCATCCATCCATCTATCCATCCATCCATCCATCTATCCATCCATCCATCCATCTATCCATCCATCCATCCATCTATCCATCCATCCATCCATCTATCCATCCATCCATCCATCTATCCATCCATCCATCCATCTATCCATCCATCCATCCATCTATCCATCCATCCATCCATCTATCCATCCATCCATCCATCTATCCATCCATCCATCCATCTATCCATCCATCCATCCATCTATCCATCCATCCATCCATCTATCCATCCATCCATCCATCTATCCATCCATCCATCCATCTATCCATCCATCCATCCATCTATCCATCCATCCATCCATCTATCCATCCATCCATCCATCTATCCATCCATCCATCCATCTATCCATCCATCCATCCATCTATCCATCCATCCATCCATCTATCCATCCATCCATCCATCTATCCATCCATCCATCCATCTATCCATCCATCCATCCATCTATCCATCCATCCATCCATCTATCCATCCATCCATCCATCTATCCATCCATCCATCCATCTATCCATCCATCCATCCATCTATCCATCCATCCATCCATCTATCCATCCATCCATCCATCTATCCATCCATCCATCCATCATCTATCCATCACCCATCTCAGGGGATGTCACCCAGGCACAGGAATTGTCACACGGCTGTAGCCTGGTGGTGGCACCAGGGTGGTTTGGGATAAGGGACCCCCAGGTGCTGCCCCTCTCCTCCATCCCCCGGCAGGGCAGGCTGGCTGTAAGCACAGCAGGTCCCTGCAGCCCAGGACCCGCCCTGGGGCTGTGCCCGTGCCCAGGAGCTGCTCCCAAGCTCCACATCCACACTTGTACTCCTGTGCCCTTCCCTTGTGTCTCGGCTCTCAGCGCCTCTGGCTGCACATCCTGCGGGGCTGCACTTCACAGCCGAGCAGGAGCATCAAAGAGGAGATCCTGAATAAAGCCCCCACTTTATGACATCTCTTCAAAGTGCCTTTTTAGGAGTTCAAAGGACACGAGGGAAGGAGGGGATCAAAATCAAAGCAAGATTGGGGGAGGGAAATTAAAGCCTCAGAGGAACTTTATGGCAAATTTTCTGTAACACTTTCAATGCCAAAATCACAAGTGTTCCCAGCGCTGACTCTCCCCTGGCCATCAGATCTCCTGTTTACCTGCCCTGGTATCAGGGCAGCCCAGCAGCTCTGGGTAGCTTCAGCCCCACACACAGACACAGGGCACCCACAATTTCACATTTCATTAATTTTTTTTTTTGTAAGAACAAAACTTGCCATTCTGGTCCTTCAGGCCAAGGGGCAGATGCTTGTTCTGAACTGCCTGGAAGTCCTGGGGCTGACAGCAGAGATCACCTTCAATGAAAATCTTCTTTTTTTGCTTTCAGGAAATGCATTTTGCTTTTCTCTTTCTGTCTTCGACTGCAGGACCATCATTTTATCCACGTTTGGGAAATTTCCATTACTGCTGGGGAAAGGGGACTTCTTCTGAGTGAAGACTGGATCTGACTTGAAGCAAGACAAGAGAAGCAAAGCCTCTGTGTGAACATCACAGGTAACATCCAGACTTTGCTTTGCAGGGAAGAAACACAATTCAGTGAGGTATAAAGTGCTTAATATTCGCTTAGCTCCCATAATTTTATCTCTTTCCTGTCTGTTTTTAAACAGAATAGAAGAAAAAAGTGATGTACAAAACAAGGGAAAGAAATCGGGCTGGTTTCAAACCCTTTATAATGCTGGGCTGAGGTGAGCACATCCTGCTGAGGGGAGCACAGTGGGGCAGGGATGAAGCTGGTAAGGACTGAGGTGCACATTAGGCTTTTCCAGGCTGTGTTGCAATTTGGGGAGGATTCAGACTTGTGTCTTTAAATGGAAAGACTGAGAAACAAATTAATTATCTGAGAAGATGAAGTGGTGCTGGTGGAGGGAGGGAAGGCTCAGCTCAGAGGAGCTGTGGACTTTCCTTGGGGCTCCTTGAGCTGTGGCTCCAGTTTGGTGCTCCCATGTTGAAACCATCAGTTAACAGATGCATTTCCTCCACAGGGGGGACTGTTTCTTCATCCCACTGCTTTTCCAGACTCCCCACTGTGTGTTCCTGCAGGAATTCTCCTGCCCAGGTGAGCTCACCTGCACCAAGTGCTTTTCCCACGAGTGCTTTCCAGGACTTGCCCAGAGAATGGCACAAAGCTGCTGCTGAGCTCCCTTCTCATTAATTTATTCTCCTTTTTTCATATACTGAACTACACACCTTGCACTCTGTGCTCTGCTTTAGGTGGGCACCCAAAATAGTCTGGAGTGGTGCAAATATAGAGATAAAACTCAGTGTGTGCTGGACTGTGGTGGAGCTCTGTGCTGTGCCGTGTGGGTGGTGGTCTGGAGAACAACTACTGCCAAAAAACCAAATTAAATTGCTTGTTTTTCACCCAGAGAGTTCCCAGTTTCACTAATGATCGCTGCAAAGGACACCTCAAGGTGAAAATCAGTAGTGTTTAATATACCTCAGCAAAAAGATAGTTTCATTCACTGGTAACTGGAAGGGGGAATTTAAGTCATGTGGAGTAATTAATCAGATTGGAACTTGCCTCGAGACTGGGGCTAGGGCCTGTAAGGTTTGTTTACAAGAGGGGATTTGCATCAAGGAGAGACCCCTTAATGCAGGCTCTTTACATTAATTGCTTTGGGGCTGCCCTGCCTCAATGAACAGATGGCTTTATTTCCCTCTGGGTGCTCCAGCCCACGTGGGGGATTTCCTCTCCAAGCACGTGTGGGCACTGGGGACAGGCACTCCGAGTCCCATCCTGTGCTGTGCCAGGCTGGCAGTGCCCGGGGGCAGGAGCACCAGGGGCTCCCCAGCCCCAGGGCTGCTCGCTCAGCATCCCAAAACAGCTCTGTTGTTACAGGATGTGCAGTGTCCAGGAGGCTCTTAATGACTTCCCATGGGAGTTGGGAGCCTGCTGATTTCCATCCAGCTCACCCAGGAACAGAGAGGGCTGGATTGAGCTCCCCTCTTGCTCAGACCTGGATGGGCAGCAGGGCCACGGCTGAGCTGGGAATGCTCCTGGGGCGGAGATGGGAATCTGGGAATGCTCCTGGGAATGGGCTGGGGCTGGGCTGGGAATGGTCCTGGGGCTGAGATGGGAATGGGCTGGGAATGCTCCTGGGGCTGAGCTGGGAATGCTCCTAGAGCTGGGCTGGGAATGCTCCTGGGGCTGAGCTGGGAATGCTTCTGGGGCCAGGCTGGGAATGCTCCTGGAGCAGAGGTGGGAATGCTCCTGGGGCTGGATTGGGAATGGGCTGGGAATGCTCCTGGTCCTGCGTGTTGCTCCTGCTGGGGGAAGAGCAGTGACTCGGCAGGGCTGAAGGCGTCCCTGGGTGATGGCTGGGGCTGTAGCACAGGGAACACAGAGCTGTTTGCTCCTGGAGCATCTCCGTGCCCTCCTCTGGGCTCACTCCAGCAGCTCCAGGTCCCTCCTGGGCTGGGGGCCCCAGGGCTGGACACGGTGCTCCAGGTGAGCCTCACCAGGGAGGAGCAGAGGGAGCATCCCCTCCCTCACCTGTGCCCACCCATTTTTGGGGCTGGCTTTCAGGTAAGGAAGGCTTGCTGCTCCAGGGCAGCACCGTGGGGTACAGCAAAGCTGGAGGTGGAGGAGATCAGGTGGGCTGCAGCATGGCCTGGGTTCCAGGTCTGTGCCAGGTCTTTATTTCATTTTTGTCAGTGTTGCTAAGGGATGATTCCCCCTGGAAGCTGCAGGACCCACAGAGATGCAAACTGGCTGAGGAGGGAGGGAGGCTCCCTGAAACCCAAAGGGAAATGGAAATCTGTTTGGGAATCCTCAGCCAGCTGCACACAGGCACTCCCAGAAAACCAGTGCTGGGCACAGGATATGGCCATTTCCCAGGAAGGTCCTGGAGCGTGGCACCTCCTGGCACTCTTTGCAGTGTCCTTTCCTAATGAAACTGTGTTTTTGTGCTTTTCATAGGCTGCAAATGGTTATGCACATTCCTAAATATTTTCCTACTTCCCTTTTCGGATGTCTAACATTATGTATTATTTTCTGATACTTACCTAACCCGGGAAATCTGTTTTCCATCTCACTTTAGCCAAGGTTTTCTTTTAAACCAGTCCTTCCCAGTATTTTCCTTTAACACTTCTGGTTCGCTGAGTGAACTTTGCAGTGTGAGGGTAAATGAAAGTGAAAATGTATTGCTTGTCACACACTGGCTGTTTAGAGAGGGTTTGGGGTTTTTTTTTCCCCTCTGGATTTGAAGAGGGAGATATAAATCATTGATGTAAAACCAAGGTAATTTAACAAGATTATAGGAGAGGGAAAATCCACTTCCTACCCGAAGTAACCGTCTCTTAGGTCTCTCCACCTACACAAGCCATATACATCCTCCGAGCTGCCCAAGATCCTCTTTTGTGTTTTTCTGGCGGGACTGTGGTGTAATAATTGAAGTCCATATGCAAAGCTTTCTTGGTGGGTCTTTTAATTACTTTGTAATTGGTCAGAGAGTTACCGTCCCTCAGCCCCAGCCTCCTCCCCGTGTTTGGAAAGTCCCAGACCAGAGGGATGTTCACAGCTCAGAGGGATGTGATCAGGGGTTGCCTTTTTGTGCCGTCTCCCCCTGTGACCAACACAAGCAAGCTGTGCTTGTCCTTGCTCTGGGATGGTGGGAGAGCAAGCTGTGACATGGGAAGCTGTGCTTGTCCTTGCTCTGGGATGGTGGGAGAGCAAGCTGTGACACGGGAAGCTGTGCTTGTCCTTGCTCTGGGATGGTGGGAGAGCAAGCTGAGACATGGGAAGCTGTGCTTGTCCTTGCTCTGGGATGGTGGGAGAGCAAGCAGTGACATGGGAAGCTGTGCTTGTCCTTGCTGGGGTGGAGCTCTGGCATGGGGGAGCAGAGGGATTTGTGCTGCAGCAGCGTGGGGGGAGGCTGGACCCCAAGGGCTCTGCATGGGAGCAAAGGGATGGAGAGAGGGATGGTGAAGGGAACGCTCATCCCTGGCTGGAGTGCTGGTTTCCAGTCCTGGGAAGCCTTTGTGCTGACCCCAGGGGGAGCATGGCACAGGAGAGCTCCCCCTAAAACTCAGGAATCATCTGGGCTTGGTGACCTCATGCAAACTCACCTGGTCCTTGCCATGATGTTCCCCCTTCTCCTGAGGGGTGGTGGCCCCCAGGGTACCCAGGGCAGGATGCAGAGGCTGTGTCTGTGTTTGAGGCCAAATACTGAGCTCTAGAGACAGGTACAGCCCCAGCTCTCGTGGCACTGCCACACCTGAGCTGGTATCACAGTAAATACCTTCAAAATAACAGATATCCTGCTCTTGTTGTTCCCATTCTCACTGGGAGCCAGGACTCCCAACCAGGCGCAGGGACTGGAATCAACAGATCTTTTTAATAGATGTAGCAAACCACACATAATCCTTTGATTCTGGGAGCTGGAGCTCAAAGCCCAGCTGCTGTAACGCAAACATGGGCGTCTCTTGGGCTGTCACTTCAGCAGGAATATGTCACCAAAAGAGGTGTCCTGGAGCCTGCCTTGCTCCCACTGGCAGGACAGGCTTCCAGTAATGAATTTCCAATGAAACGTTTTTCTAATTATAGCAAATTATTTTTACAAACATTTTCCTGGGAAGAGAGTTTGAAACTAGAGCCAAAAAGGAGAAGACTGAAATTTAGGCAGTGCCTGAAAAAAAAATTAAAGATGGATTGCATGCTAGTTGGGTTTTATTATCAGGCCAACCTGTAAACTTCAAATTAATGTTTTTTAAGGAACTTCATTCCAATATGACCAGTTTGTGTCATTGAAAACTGGAATGGCTTAGAACAGTGCCATCAAAGCCAGCTCTTCCCTCTCCCACAGGACACCCTGGTGGCACTGGAGAAGGGTGGTGGCAGAGGGGTGGTGGCAGAGGTGACAGCCAGCAGCAGGTCACTGGCAGCACTGGTACAGCCTGAGCAGAATTTCTCATCCAACAGCCCCCAAGGCAAATAATTTTGTATTTATTCTCCTTTCCAAATTGTGCAGTGAACTTCTGTTCCTCTTCCAGAACAGAGCCACTTCCCGTTACAAACGCTCTCGGTTTTGGGGAAAAAGAAGGAATAATTCTTAGGTACCACTAAGAGAAGTGTGACCACCCATGCCTGGCTGCCCCACGCCCCACAAACACGAGGGCAGCATGTTTGTGCTGATGGGGAGGGTTCAGCTGTGGCAGGCTCAGTGCTCCCTGCTTCTTTTCCAGGAGAGATTCCCACTGGAAGCACAGGGGCTGGCAGCACCATGCTGTTTGTGAGCATGCCTACCTTCCCATGGCTCTTGAGCTCAGCTGGGGGATTTAATTAGAAGTCAACCATGGAAAAATCCATAATACTTACATAGAGGTGGTGTGGGCTGTGTGCAACTGAGGGATAATCTTAATGCAAACCTGAATGTAGGTTATTGTTCAGCAGGAAGGAGTTGGTTGATTATTTCTAAAACAGAAACAAAAAAAAAAGGAGAAAAAGGCCATGCCCAGCCACAGCCCCAACCACGAGCCCCACGCAGGGCACTAACCCTGGCCAGTGGGAAGATGTGGTGCAAGGATGGCTCTGGCCAAGGGCTGGGCTGGGGCTTGTGCTGTGGGTTATTGGCACCCTGGGAGTAAATCTGGCCTAAGGGAGCCTTGGAATAACGCAGGTGGTGGATATTTCATGGCATGTGCTTATTTGCTTGAGGAGAAATTTGGGATAGAACAAAGGGTGGTAGATGCTCATCTGGAAACCCATTGCAACCGCAGGCTCTGGCTGTGGTGGCTCTTACTGAAGCACCTAAGGGTTAAAGATGGGCATTTCCCCTGCCCCCCAGCAAAGGTAATTACCCCCCATCCATTTAGCAGGGGAAGAATTTGCCATTGAGCAGCAGGGCCGTGCAGGAGAGCCCTTCAGCCCCCAACAATATCGCATTTCCCCGGTGCATAAAGAGCGGGGCCGTTTCCGCTGGCGGGGCCATAATGGAGGTATCTCTTTACAAAGCCCCCACTTCAGGCCAGCTGAATGCCTCTGCCGAGCCTCCGAAATCCCGCAGCCCTAATCC